GTCCAACCCAGCGCGACAGGCCAGCCGGGACTGTCCCTAAAGCGCTCACTCGAGCGCTAATTAACAATGATTTCCGGATAGAAACAAAGAAAAAAATCATCTACATGTGTCTGCATAGGAACGACGGCGCGGGACTTCTTCTTCAAACTCGTAAAAAGACACAAAAAACGGCCGCGCGGTCAACGCCGATCTCTCCACACTCTCTGGACTCAAAAAGAGCAAAGACGAGAGGTAAAGCGGCCAAAAAGAAAGACACGTCACGCGACCTAACGTGCGCTGGGCTGAGCTGAGCGCCTCGGTTGCTGGGCGGCGGTATCTGCTGATAAACCGGGGCTGCACCGCCCGGGGGGTTAAGGACCGGGCGTCGACGGGGAGGTGCGGGGAGCGGGGGGCAGGTTAAGGTAGGACCGAACGAGCGCCGGCAAGTGTCGCTGCTTCGAGATTTATTCATTTTTCAGAAAGCGTCAGAAAGTATCCTCAGCCAAAAAAGGTTCTAAAAATTTTTATTGACAGATTTAATTTTTTTCCCGAGTAGATAAAAGTTAACCAAATGTCTCTGACAGAAATGAAAAATTACCGATTTTTTTCTGAAAAGTTACAAATTTTTCCCGAAAATTTTCGGTTACGAATTTTCCCCGAATATTTTCGGTGCTAATGTTGCGCTGCGGCTCACCTGAGTCTGTTGTGGCTGAGGTCCAGGGCGGTGATGCTGGCGCCCAGGCCGGCCGCCAGGGGTGGGGGCACCCGCTCCAGGTCCTCCCAGGCCAGCGAGATGGCGTGCTCGCCGCCGGGGAAGTCCCAGGGGCGCTGCGTCCAGGAGGCGACCCGCTTGCAGTCGTTATTGTTCCCGTCCTTGTAGTCGTCCCTGTCGGGCAGCTGCCGCAGCTGTCGCAGCTGCTTCTCGTCGCACACGTCCTCACATCGGCTAGCGTCCAGGCCAAGGTCCAGGACAAGTCCAAGCTCTGCGAGGCAGTCGCTGCAACAGACAGACAGAGGCGACGGTGAGTCACGGCGCTCTGACGCACTATCGCACTTCGCACTGCTATGCGCAAGGGCGCGGCGGCGGTCGATGCACATTTCGCACTATAACGTCAACTATCCACTGTCCACAGGCACAAAACACTGAAATATTGTAGAAAATCTGTTATTATAACACTTTCAAAAGTTGTGGGAGTATTGCCAAACTGGAAAAGTGGAGCTGGTTTCACAACCTTCAAAAAATCTCGCCCAAGCACGTGAGGCATAAAACTAACACTGATTTCTTTTTCCTCGCTCAAATAATTTCCCTTTTTTATCACTTTCCTATTTTTTTTTCTCTGGATCGGCACGCGGGCGGGCGAGCGGGCGGGCGGCCGCAAGATAAGCATTATCGGCATTACAACTCCTTTACTTTTCGGGCCAATCGAAGGCGAGGGACGTCCCGTCCGGTGCCGTCCGCACCGAGCGCGTCGCGCGCGCGCTGAGTCAGATGGAGGCGAAGACGTGGAGGAGGAGGAAGAGGAGAACGAGGAGGAGGAGAGGAGAGGGCAGAGTGGACGACTGGTATTCCCGATCAAAAACTCACCCCCGGGGCTCGTCCCCGCCCCTCCCCGCCCCCCTGTCACGGCCCGGCGAGCCGTCTGACGAGCTGTTTGTGTCCCTCTCCTTCTTCTCCTACCACCCCCATAGTATGGCCCAGGCCAGTATGGCTCCCCTTACCGTATCAACACCATGGCAGTCAGGAACAGAATGTCGGCGTCCTGCCGCGATAGGCGTATTAAAGACGGGCCCACCCTCCCCACTCCGTGCCACTCCTGGGCGACCACAGCCCCCTCCACACGCGTACGGCACGCTGCACACCGCCGGGCCCCGCTGCGCACGGCGCGACCCGCGGGACTGGCGCCAACATTCAAATTAAGGCAAGAATAATATTTAAAAAAAAAATCGGTATGGGACCGCCAGGAAAATTAGAAGATAAAATTTGAGGCAACATTTAAAGGCAAGCGGCATAAATACCAGGTGGCTGATTCACGCCGCGCACTTTCGTAGTTATACGGTACACGAGGGTTGCCTACTCAGACGGGGCCATAAGGAGCCGTGGGCAGCGAGCATAGGCAAACCTGCCCGCAATAGTGCCTGCGGAACAGTATCACTACGAAAGCTTTCGTACTAGTATGTAGCACTATTGCGCGGCGTGAATCAACCATCTGGTATTTTTTAGAACTATGGACAAATTCTAAAATAATTAGACTGCTTCGTAAATTTAAAACCACGGCTGAGAATTTGACTTATTAGATCAGACACTTATGCCTGTTTTTGGAAGAAGTTGTTTCAAACATAAAACGTTGCGTGTTTCTAATAATATGTATGAATTTATTACGATATTCTGATATAACACCCGTTTTGACACTGATCCGATGCAACCACTAATAGCTCGACGGGAGACACAGATTCGGCTAACGACCTGCCATGCATGGCGACCTCGGTGGCCGCGCTGTTGGGTTGCCCCCCATCCCCCTCGTCATTAGAAGAAGGTTATGTTTGTCCGCCCATTCCTATTTCCCTTGACTTTTATCGTAAGGCCGCGTGGCGTTCGTCAGCCTAGTCCACACACCACAGAGGTGAAAGTTGAATGAGACTCCCATACTTATCGTGTGTAAAAAAGAAAACACACAACAACACATTGTCATAATCCGAAACATTAAAAAATACGGCCGCGTGGATTGACCTGCATGTGGCCTGACCTGGCGGCGGGAGGTCACCATGTGCGAAGCCCTGCTGCATCTGTGTGTGAGTGTGTGTGTATGTGCGTTTTGTGTGTATGGTTTTTTGTTGTGTGTGTTTACAATCGGGCGGCGGCAGTAACAGCCTCAAAAGAAACCGGGTCTTGCCCTGTTTTGACACCCCAGCGGAATCCTCCGTCCGCGATGTGGGACAAAAGGCACGACGGAACGCCCCATCCCAGATGCAACAAACTGCACACAATCTCGGTACAATAACTTCCCCCCTCCTCCTCACCCACCTTCACCACCTCCTCACCTCACCACCGAGTCTTTACGTAATGTTGATCCTTTGGTAACTTCCCACGCTAAGGTCTGTTTTGTTTGTTTTTTTTACTTTTTTGTCTTGTATCCCTCTCTGTACACCGGGTGTGCGCTGCACTCCTTGCACTTCTTCCTCGTCTTTTTGCGCCGTAGCGCCCCTCTCACGTGACGCCGCGCTAGAGATAGCTAGTAGTAGATGGACGGCTAGAGAGCCGTACCACCCCACTTGAGCCGGGCCGGCCCCGCCGGGCCGGCCCCGCCGGGCCCCGCACTGCAAAAACAAATATAGACTCGATAGGACGGGCGGCGGCGCGAACTGCATCGGGCGGCAGAGGTACACGTGACAACCGCGACTGCAATACGGCTCAGAGCAAGTGCAGTGAGAGGGCCTTCTGGGAAAGTACTTGATACTGGAAATCACAGAGCCACACTCGCAAATACACACATACTATGCTCTCTCTCTCTCTCTCTCTCTCTCTCTCTCTCTCTCTCTCTCTCTCTCTCTCTCT